TACACGCTACTCCCTCACCACCGTGCCGCGGTTAGAGGGGTTCACGTTATCCCCCCCCCCTCCCCTGTCGCAGTTGTGTGTCCGGCCGGGACCCGGGGATGATCCCCGATAGTGGAGTGAGATGCCGCGCCGCGCGCGCCCGGCACAGGGCTCAGCCGGATCGCGCCGCCGCCTCTCGATGCTATCTTCCGCCACCTGCGAATCCTGTCCCTGGGCGTCTGGTTGCCAGGGCTCGCGCGCAGCGCGGCCCAACGCAATGACCTTTTCCACCGGGACGGACTCCCCAGAAGCGGCGGTGATATCATGTCTTCTCGTCCGCCCGCGCATGCTGTTTGGCTGCACCGAGGCGGTCTGGTGGCCCCCTGAGTGTGTGTCCGCGTGGTGCAGTCATCGCCTCGCCTTGATGCGAGCTCGGGAGCTGACGTAGTTAACCATCGGAGCGGCGTGCTGTCAGCGAGGCCAGTGTCTGTCGCATGGTGGTCCGAGCCGGAGCTGGCCGTGCGCCGATCACGACACCCATCTGCCGCCGGGATCTGGCGCCGTAGCGTTTCCGGACGCGGTCACGGCCGCCCGGCGCCCATATCGCCGCTGAGCGTGACGGTAGCCGTGTCCAGGCGCGCTCATTACACGTCAATGACATCAGACCGGCTGGGACTCAGTGCCGCCTCCATCAGACGGGCGGCTGGCGCTACCTCCATCAGACGGCCTGGCGCTCGGCACTGCCTTCGGCCGGCGCCTCCTGACCTGCGCTCCAACTTTCCCAGCCGCTGAGACGAATGACGGGGTCCCGGGTCATGTTACGTGTAACATTTTCATCGATCTCCAGTACTGCTAATGGTTATAGTTTATTTGTTTAACTACTGTTTCTGGAAAACGTCTGACTTGGCGAAGCTACATCCTATTTTGTTTAGGCATCAGTAAGGTCTAATCGTTGTCTAGTGAGTAGAACGCACAGGCCTCATCAGCTGTCACTGTTATTGAGCGAGTGTAACGCGGTTGTAACTTTTATCCTGTGACAGTTGAATAGATACCACAAATGATCCGGTAGTCAACACGCCGGTAAACCCCAGTTACTCGATAACTAACCCCAAGCAGAGCCCTGTTCAGTGTGCGTTCTTTTCGCCGCGCCGGGGGCGGCTGTACCGTGATAGGACGCCGCTCAGGGCCGTGCGGCTGCCGGGGCAGCACGGCACTGGATCCCCGCGACCCGGCGGAATGTCTGCCACGCGCCACCCGAGCGGCGGGGTCGGGTGACGGCGGCGCGACCTATCGCACGCCGGTCGACGGCCCAGCCCGGTGTGAGGTCCCAGTGCGGCACTCTGGCACTGGTAGTGGACCGCCCCAATTCCCGTATACGTGAAGGGTGGCTGCCGCCTCCCATTACTTCTTAAGTTCTTATCGTGGGTAGAGGAACGGAGGTCAAATTTCACTTATGTTTATAATGCACTGTCAACATTCGACACTGAGAAAATAAATGTCATTGTCTTGTGTGGTTTAACTGGTCAACGGCCAAAATGGATTCATTATGCTAGTGTGTGTTTCTATGTACGGCTCGCGAGATTAAATGGTAGTTTTTGCACTTTTACATTTCCGGTTATATCTCAGAAACTAAACGATCTACGATAAAGCCATTTTACACGATCATGGCCGGCTTGTCTCCCAACAAGTCGATCGCACACACAGAAAAATATTAACACCGCTAGCGGTGTAATTGCACAGTACATATCTGAGCACTTGAGGAAAGTTAATTTAGTCCCTTCCCCGCTTAAATTACTCGCGCTTCTAAATGAACACCAGGAAGAAGGTAATAGAACACTGTTAGGAGGGTTGGGTGTTTTGCTACATGTAGTAAAACACCCAACCCTCCTAACAGTGTTCTATTACCTTCTTCCTGGTGTTCATTTAGAAGCGCGAGTAATTTAAGCGGGGAAGGGACTAAATTAACTTTCCTCAAGTGCTCAGATATGTACTGTGCAATTACACCGCTAACGGTGTCAATATTTTTCTGTGTGCATCTTCAACACTTACAAGCTTAAGACGACGAAGATATGGCCTGAAGTACACTAAATTTTCTAGGTGCAAACCCTACCGCTAAAACCGGGGAGACGTACCTACTTCGCTGCCGCTGATTCCAAACCTGGAATCAGTTTTTCACCACCGCCATCAGTTTTTTATTCAGGGCATTGCATTACTGTGCTTCCCCATGCATTGCTCTTACCTTATGTTACTGTTAACCTCGCACTGTGTGAAAGGCACACCGCAGATGCGTTTTTCCAGCTGCTTCCACACGGAAATATCACAGCGATACATGATATGATCGGTCTCTTGTGGCAGATTGCTGCCAAATAAATAGCATCAAATATGATATTACGGTAACATGTGATGCATCAAAGCTAGGTACGCAGGTTGTGCTTCGTATGGACATATATGACCAGTATAACGCCTTTTGGGGCGACTAACGGAGCGAGCGAGAGGGTGGGCCTTGCACGTGCGAAATTGCGAGGGGGTACCTCCAACTGACTTGTGCACGGCACCCTACTAACTGGTCTCTAGCGATGTGCCAAATTTGGGCACAATCGGCCCAGCCGTTCTCGAGATCTGGAAGTGGCACCCTGCACGTGCGCACGTGCAAAATGGGTCCCAACTGACTTGCGCACGGCGCCCTACTAACCGGTCCCTAACCGTGTACCAAATTTGAGCGCAATCGGTCCAGCCGTTCCCGAGATCTGGAAACGACCCCTGCACGTGCGCACGTGCAGCAGCACCCCAACCCTGGCACATGTATATGCAGTGCCTAGTGGGTGCCTACCTACATGCCAACTTTCAGCGCAATCGGCCAAGTAGTTACCGAGATATTGCAACAATTACAAAACTGACACCTCTTCGTTTTGCACGTGGCACGTGCATAAGGGGTCACCCACATGCATCGGGAATAGTCCAATACTTGGTAGAAGGAATGAAGCTACCCTACAAAAATTACCGCGTGTAAATCGGTCAAGTGGTTGCTGAGATATAAGCCTCGCAAAAGCGTGACCACGGCCGGCCGGCCGGCCGCTCATACTCAGAAATTTCCGTTAATCTAAGGAAAGACTACGCTCGCTTCGCTCGCTCCGTAATAATCTGTATGTGCTGCCTGGCGAAAATAACAGCTCAAATATCTGAATATAATAGCCTTAGGAAGCAATGAAAAGGATTAGCTGAATATGTATAAAATGGCGTCGTCACACAACCTATCTCAAATATCTAGTCCGATGCAACTTTTTGGTACGATATTCATGTTTAGCACCAACAATAAACAGCCCTTCATAGCTGGCGTCAGTTCCAATTTATGGTTTCCAATTATACTTCTCTTCACGGTCGTTCGAATGAGCCAGACCGGGGTTTCAGGCCCATCACCATTGTTCTGTGAAACACGGAAAAGCATTTCTTGCCAGGTTACTAACTATAAAAGTATGTATAAATAACCTTATGCTCATTCTTTGCACTTTTTTGTTGAAATTGAATAATTAAACAAAATCATTGATATATTTCGGCTTGCGCCATCTTCAGAATGTACAGAAACAATTGTCGACACAAACAAACAAAATTCGATTCCATCAATCAATAAATCGTGCAGCGCTTCAATCAGCTCCTTGATGAGAGAATAATTTCATATATACATGGCTCTCGAAATAACGATGCGCCGTCCATGATACCTACGATACATGTACAATATACAACACACAAGATCAATATACAATACAAAATAACAACATAGAATCTGCATGAATCATCACATTGTTTGGCGCAGCCTAAATCAACGGCACAATCAGACAGTAGTTGTCACAATCAATTTGTGGATATGTACAATATAGTTATGTGGGGGTGTACGATGGACGCTGCAGAAGTGGCCAGGATGAAGTTTGGGTGTTCAAACATGGTTTTTGGTTCCTTATTTCCACTGATTCGGATATTTTTAAATCAGCGACGTCTTTACACACTCTTTCAATGGAGATTTTGAATGACGATGATGTGATTGTACATGATGGGTGTCTTTGGGTAACGTGATCCCCAAGAGGGGTGTTTTTTGCCTTGTTTGTCATAGTTTTGCCTTGTTTGTCATAGTTTGGTTACTAACTATGTTTACAATTTTTAAATGTTATGTTATTCCATAACCGTTTGAAATTTTGATAAGCGTTTTTTATAAGCGTTTATCGTACATGTATTCTACCAATTTTAATGTTTTTTACCCCACTAATAGCTAAGCTGGAATATTTTTGTCTCGGACGGTATGCGCGGGGCAAAGTGGCCACCCCCAGTTGGCCATAAGTTGTTTCCATCTGGATAAAAAACATTATTTATATTCAAATGTGTCGTCATACATTCATCTTGGCCACTTTTCAGTTGCATGAGTTACCAAATAATGCAATTAATTTTTTTCATGAAAATCCTTTCTTTGTTTACCTACAGGTGGAAGATGATAAACCTCCATCCTCGCTTAACCTTGTCACCATCAAATACCCTAGTCGTATCAATACCCTCATCAAATACCCACCATCAAAAACGAGGCAACTATTTTGTTTCTCATCGGGACTTGAGAAGACGCCGGTGGCCGCTTTGCCCCAGGGTATGGGGCAAAGTGGCCAATATGCTTAGGTTTAAAGTTTTGTCAATATCTTCCATATGTGAACGCCTTTGGAAATAAAACGCAGTTGAAATAAAAGGCAACTTAATAGGGATCACATTGGTATAGAACTAGAATCTTTCCAAGTTTAAAAATCAAGCGTTGGCATCGTGAGAAGCGTTAGGGTGGCCGCTTTGCCCCACTCTCCCCTAGACTAATGGCTTAGCATAGAAGCGCAGCTTAGTTTTACGCTGTGATAACAGAGAGCTGCCGCCTCGCTGGTAAAAAGGCGCCCGGCGCCGGTTGCTCGGCAAGCTCGGCTGATTGCTGATTGCCTGTGGTGGTGGTGCGGCGGCGGCGGCGGCGGTGATGACTGACCTCTGCGCTCTGTTCCCAGGCACCAACGACTGCTTTGTGGTGATCAGCCTGGGCAAGGAGAAGTACCAGACGTCCGTCAAGGAGAAGTCGCCTCCCAACGTCGAGTGGTGCGAGGAATGCGAACTGTAAGTCGCCCGCCCTCTGGAGCGGTCTCGCCATGTAATCCAGCTGTGGGCTTAATGATCATGGCGGGGTGATTTTTCAAAACAGTTATCGAATACCGGCACGCATGCTTCTTTCTTTTAACCCGCGCCGGGCCGGTGCTCTGAGATTCCGCGCCGGGCCGGGGGGTGTCTGAACACCCCCCCCCCCCCTTCTAACTCGGCTCCTGGGCCACGTAGCGACACGCGGCAAGCGGTAGTCGAAAGAACGTCCAAAATAAGGACGAAAACACTATGGGTCATTTTTTGGGTCAGGTCAAAGGTCAGGTCACCAGAGGTCACCAAAGGTAAAATGTTGACTATTTCAACATTTTGGAAACTGCCAACGGCTATCTCGGGAACCGATAGAGCTACAACGCCGCAGAAAAGCGCATTCGATAGCCCTTTTACAGACCTTTCTGAGTAATGTTCTCAGATTTGACCTCAGGTCAACGGTTTAGCCTCCAGAGGGCAAAAACTCCAAAAATGGCCGTTTTTACGAAAAGCGTTTTTTTCGGCAATAACTTTTGACTCAAAAGAGCCATGACATTACTTTTGCCAGCATCGTGTTCCTGTCGTCGAGACGCGTCGAATGAACTATAATTTGACCTTGAAAGGTCAACTTTAAAATTTGACCTCAGGTCAAGGTCATGACCTGACCGGAAAAGGTCATGTTGCATATCAGTCGATCCGCAACGTTGAGTCGAACACATCTAAGGCGTTTTCAGCGCTCTAGCACGCCTCTATCAGAAGTTATTAGCGAAAAACTGTTAGATTCTGTTCGTGACCTGAGATGACCTCGGGGACATAACGAGGGGTCACAGTTGCCATTTTCCGGTTCAGTGTGTCAATTTTACCTACATCTCGATGTTTGAGAGTGTCTAGAATAGCGTTCGTGCAAAACAGACGCTTTTCAATTTTCTCCCATTGACTTATAATGGAGAGGCCGCAAAATTGACCTGACCTTAGGTCACCGATATCAAAATTCCGAGATAAACATTTTATAGATAATGTTGCTCTAATCAATCGCTGAAAGTTTCAAGGCAGTCGATCAATCGGTGTAGCTATGACTAGCATTCTTTTTTCTGAGGTGAGGTCACTTGGCGTGACCTGGGCCTCGTTTCATAAAACTCTGCCGTAACTTACACCTTTCCGTAATTCACACCCTTTCAGTCTACGGAGCGCAAATGAAACGGTTTCACAAAGCCACAACTGGAATTGTTTACACCTCCGTTACTAAGCACATTTGCGTGGTTGGCGTATTTTATCAAGCGTCCTACAAATTACAATTTCGTGTCAACACTTATTTTTCACGAGAAATTATAAAACAATTATGTTGAATTTTAATCTTAAAAACTATTTATGAAAAAAACAAAATTGATATTGATGACCATCCTTTATTAAATCAATATATTGAAAACAGCAGAAAGCCAGCTAAGCAGAAGTGCCTTACTACGAAAGTGGCGCGGCGCGGCGAATAAACAAAATTCCGATAGCTGCCACAAAAAGCGACTGGTACAGAAGATTTGCAGTTTCTTTTTCTCATTTTGGCTGTTCTTTCTTCCTCACCGGGCTCAACATTATAAAATATATTAAAAATTAGCTTCGAATCTTCACATTAATTTAAATTCACGCAACATTTTTGTGCGTAGTTTACACCACTGATATCAATAACTTGATAAAATATTTGTCGTTAATTACGTCGTTTTATGAAACCCAAATGGCATCAATTGGTCCGGATTCGAGCATTTGCCGTAAATGAAGCTCCGTAATTTCGATGGCGTGAATTACTCGGGTCTCCGGCTTTATGAAACCGAATTGGCATCAAATACGCCAAATCTGGCATAATTGACGGGACGCCATAAGTAATTCCTTTTATGAAACGAGGCCCTGGTGACCTGACCTAAGGCGACCTGGGTCTGAAATTTTCACAACATGTGCGGAAAAGATGCACGGGAGCGCCGCCGTTTTTGAGATATCTACGAAAAACCGCAGGGGGGGGGGGTGTTCAAACACCCCCCCCCCCGGCCCGGCGCGGGTTAACAGTGATATTCGAAATACCTAGGTACAATACCTAAATATCTGTACCTATACCTACTTGTCTTCGTTGTATTAGGCTTTTTCAGCTTTGTGACGGAACAGTAATCTAGAACGTTTGGACCTGGCAACGGCTTGCCTGCATTGAAATACGAAGCCTTTCACCAGCATAATGTCGCTAAGTGCTCTTGCTAGGAACTGTTATGCCTGTTGGCCGTGCTGTATGTTTTTACTTCGCGAAAGCGGTGAATGCCTTTGCACCAATACTTCAGAAGCCTTTTATGGGTAATCACATCGAGGAAAGTTGACTCTTGATGCAAGCAGAAGGTCGCTGCCTTCTCTCGTTTTTGTTCCGGCTCGTGTTCTGACTGAACTTTGAAAAGGTCGACCCTTGGTCAGCGACAAGGGGTACATCTAACGATGAGAACGGGGTAGTGATCAGCAGCCCGGTCGCGGCCGGCAGGTATAGGTGCAAAATAACCACTGCAGTCGGCGCGTCCTAAAGGCCCCATAAACAAACAAACAAACAACCAAGAGGTCAGCAGGTGCCTTTTGACCAGCGAACGAAGGGCGGTTGGCGCCTGACCATTGACAGAGGAGCCCTTTTCCCGTCGTCTCAGGCGGGGTGTCGGCTGGGGAGTCACTGTAGGCTCAGGCGGGTGTCGGCTGGGGAGTCATTGTAGGCTCAGGCGGGGTGTCGGCTGGGGAGTCATTGTAGGCTCAGGCGTGGTGTCGGCAGGGGAGTCATTGTAGGCTCAGGCGGGTTGTCGGCAGGGGAGTCATTGTAGGCTCAGGCGTGTTGTCGTCAGGGGAGCCGGGTGACCACCAGAGCGGCTGTCGGCGGGCGGCTTCTCTGCGGAGAGATTGGCCAGCTCTGGGAATTGGCGCGACATGGTGGTCCTGCTCCGACCCCGCTTACCAAATACCAGCACGAGTTAGTCCGAAGCAGTCAGTGCCATTATGTCAGCGGGCCGATTTGTGTCGGATTGCGGCTGGTTTTTGGCTCCCTGTGCGCTTGTTAGACTTAGCTTCCCTGCCAATCTGGGCTGTCATCTCGTTCACGAAAGTGAGTGAGGAAGTGCCACTTGTGTTGCATGTGGGCTGGGATGAACTGGCGTGTTGGCTGCGATGCTTCACATTTTACCGTTAGCGACCGAGTTCGTGTGGGCATAGCTTGGCTAGTATGGATTGTGGGTTCAACATGAATTAATGTCAGGTGGTTATTAAATGCGCCACGTTGGAACTCTTTTTTACGGAGCCGGCTCGTTTTATGTCGCCCCTCTAACGTTAGCACCCCTGAATTTCAAATTTTGCTGTCTGGTAGATATTTTTGTTTTGTATGGTTCAAGAGGCTTTCCTTATCATAAGATCGTGCCAAGACCTGCTTGGCATTCATTTTGAGGTGTAAGTAATTGTATTATTTTACTCAAGATGTAAGTAATTTGGGTGGTTTGACAAGAAAGCGGCAGTTTAGACACATATATTGATTATATAAATTATTTTACGAAAATGGCACATCAACACCACCTAAACAGCTGTTTTATTGAATGAATACAAGTCAAATATTTTTATTGTGCCGAACACCTCTTCTGTTGGACCGGTCCTCATTGAATCAAGTGAATCGCTTCCGCATATAAAGATCACCAATGTTTTGATGAAGTTTAGCTCATCTGGCGTTTGCCTGTCCACAACGTCTGTAAAGATTATTATTATTATTATTATTATATCGTTTATTCCACTAACCACGATCATCGGGTGGGCGTTACAGTGGAACATTGCCAATTCCAACACATCTGTTCATGCAGTAAACAATGATGGTTGGTACGTTTAACGGTACACTGCAGGGCATATGCGAGCACATCCGCACACATTGCCAATTCCAACACGTCTGTTCATGCGGTTAACAGTGATGGTTGGTACATATAACGGTACACTACAGGGTACATACAAGTACATTCGCACACATTGGGTGAAACGTGGTCATCAGTTGTCAGTGTTTGCTTTTGCTAGGAGGTACTTTTTCAGTTCAAATTTTGAGGCATTCCTCATTCTAGTGGGCAAACTATTCCACAATTTAGAGCCATGATATGACAGTGAATATTTCATAAAATCTGTTCGCGGAGCAACCAGATCTAGGTTCTCCGACTGTCTTGTCTCACGGTCAGATCTTCTAGTTATAAAGAGCGAGGATATCAAAGGTGTTGTAATCTCCGGAAAAAGCAGACACTGACGAATTATATTCAATGCAGCAATGTCATGTTCGAAGGCTAAGTCTCTTCGCCATGCCACATTCGCACTCTCACGACCCGTGATACGCCGAGCAAATTTTACAATTTTAGATATCCTTTTCCCCTGTGTCAAGCCACAATTCCCCCATATACAGAAACACAGAAACGGATATGTGGAAGAACTAACGAATTAACAAGCAGTGCAATAGTTTTCAAGGGCATAATGTGACGCAAGTGACTCAGGCGTATCAGCATGCCAATGCATTTGCCAACAACAGTGTCGATATGGATACTCCACGTAAGACAGCTGTCTAAAGTAACGCCCAAACTAATTAGAGACGGCTTAACTTGTACCACAGTATCAAATACATGTACACTCTTCAAATTAATCTTTTTCAAAACACATCTAGTGCCAAAAACAGTGACTTGTGATTTGGCAGCATTTACAGAAAGGCGGTTCCGGGAGAACCACACCCCAAGCCTTTGAAGAAGGGTCTGAAGGCGACCTATCACAGTATCTAGTTCGTTTGGTGGTCCCGAAACCATCACCTGAGTGTCATCGGCGTATTGAATTATTGATCCTGATTCAGACGCAACGGTGGGTAAATCATTCATGTACAAGTTAAACAACATCGGACCCAACACACTTCCCTGTGGAACACCTGACAGCACATCACCCTTCGCATCATTACAACCCCTCACATACTGGCGCCTACCAGA